CGGACACCAGCAGTGACAGACCTGGGAGACAAATGAATAGAAATGCTACCTGGCAGCACCACCAGTGACAGATGTGGGAGACAAATGCATAGAAACGCCGCATGGCCAACGGAAAAGGGCGGACGGACCTGGGAGACACATGAATAGAAACGCTACATGGACAGACCTGGCAAACAAATGAATAGAAGTGCTACATGGCCAGCGGAAAAGGGCGGACACCAGCAGCGACAGACCAGGGAGACAAATGAATAGAAATGCTACATGGCCAGCGGAAAAAGGCGGACACCACCAGTGACAGACCTGGGAGAAAAATGAACAGAAATGCTACGTGGCCAGCGGAAAAGGGCGGACACCAGCAGTGACAGACCTGGGAGACAAGTGAATAGAAATGCTACATGGCCAACGGAAAAGGGCGGACACCAGCTGCGACTACATGGCCAGCGGAAAAGGGCGGAGACCATCAGTGACAGACCTGGGAGACAAATGAATAGAGTTTCTACATGGCCAGCGGAAAAGGGCGGAGACCATCAGTGACAGACCTGGGAGACAAATGAATAGAGTTTCTACATGGCCAGCGGAAAAGGGCGGACACCAGCAGTGACAGACCTGGGAGACAAATGAATAGAAATGCTACATGGCCAGCGGAAAAGGGCGGACACCAGCAGTGACACAAAAGGCGGACACATCTTAAGAAAGAATTGAGAACCCCTAACAGTAAACTGTTTGGGGAAAACTGTTTGGGGAAAAACCTCCAGGTCCACGTCTTTTCGCAATTGATGACAATAAACGTGTGTTTTAATTGTGGATCGAACATCAATACGCACTTGTGTCTTAACCATCTGACATTGCCATCTCCCAGACATCTCCTTGTCCCACCGAAGTCGCTGGTGTCTCGCTTCAGGCCCAACATCAACCCCCATGGCCGTCCGCGGCGTTTCATCATCCCACGCGTTCCTCAGTCCGCGGCGTGTTCCGCCACGGTGCCACCGCTCAAGCCTTGGCCACCACCTTAGCAGGGTACCTAGCACCATACCGATTAGCACTCTACCTGGAGGAGGTGGTGGAGGTGGTGGTGGTGTAGAAGTACGAAACTGCTGCAGATCTTCGTTTTTTTGAACCTCAGGTGGCCGCCAGCCATGAGGAGCGAGTGTAGTGAGCTGTGAGCTGATGATGTTGCTTCTCTTCAGCTGTCCAAGGCGAAAGAATAGTAAAACGTCTGGATGGGGACCAAAGGTGACCAAAGTCCAACAACTCTCAAAAACGTCTGTGTTTTTGTTTAGTGTAAGGAATAGGAAGTATGATGGATCTAGGAGTGATCGATCTTTGGTGTGTCCACACCACTGTGCCTGTGTTTTACTCAGGGTGTGTTTCGTGGCTTGCCGCTGCTACGATTCGTTGCATGATTGCCGCTACATCCATCAAGCTGCCAGCGGAACTGATTCAGCCTGACGACAGTTTGTCCAGGTTGGAAAGGCAACTTCAGCCATCCGTCCTGAGTGTTGATCCATGCCGCTGAATAAAAAGGACTTTGACCCATTGGCTGGGTCAAAACCGGGATACCTTGATTGACCACCCCAAATGAACGACTAGACTACCTGAAAGGTCAAGCTACATGGTGGACCAGGGCTCCAAATTTTGACCCATCCCCCATAGCCTCAGACCATTTCCTTCTGCACTCAAAGATCTGTAAGCGATGGCAGCTATTCTGCAACAATACCGTTGTAATCTTGTGGTTGGTAGGGCATAAACACTTCTGCCAGCACATTCGGCATCTTCCTTAAATGTTGGATGCCCATGTCTTTCAGTAGAATGTCATGGAAATGGGTCTGATGAAGCAACACCAAACTGGCCCTTGCGGCAGTATTTGGCATCCAGCTTCGCTTCCAGCATTTCATCTCCTGGATCTCTTTCTCCATCTTTTCAGTACTGGGCAGTTCAACCTGGTTGGACCAAACCTTGCCAAGCCAAGCTGATTGCAAGCCGTAGCTGGAGATGTTGGAGATGGTGGCCACCTCGCTCCCCACGAAGGCCAAGCGAGGCACCCGGGGGGGCAAGGTGTGACGGTAGAGGTAGAGTCCATCCGCTTCGATGCCCAGCTTGGATCTCACGTCCTCCGAGAGCACACTGTAGTCCTTCTCGAAGCCTGTGCCATAGACGATGAGATCTGCTGGCAGCTCCTGTCCATTCACCAACAAGCCATGTTTACTGTAAGCTTCTGGGTTTCCGATCTTCCAATCCACCTTCCCAGCCGAGACCAAGTCTCGAAAGGAATAGTCGAGGACCTGCGCCGCCCCATAGAAATCCGAAACCACATCGCATTTGAAGAGTGGCGAGGTACTGCCACTCATGTTCCTGAACTGCAGCGCGAAAAGCATCTCCACCACCGTGAAGGCACCGGCCATAAGAGGCCAACCCAGTTGGTGCCAGTAGGACATATGCTTTGGGGCCCCGGGCAGGGCACCCCGATGGCCAGTCACCAGCGCCTGCCCAAGCCGGGACAAGAAAATGTACTGGAAGGGAATCACATTGGCGATCTTCCGCGGGGTCGGCCAGTGGGGCCTAGCAGTGGGTGTTCGTTGTTTCGTGAACCGTTCTTTTGGGAAACAACGGTGAAACGGTTCTTTCATTCGCAGAGTGCGGAAAGCAAGTTTAGCGGCCTTTGTCAGACTTCCATTTTCCGGCAGTTTCCGCTTCCCAAACGAGAAGCGACGACGCGTGTTTTTTTCGCCAACGGCGTTTTGCCGCGACGCCTGCGGCTGACCATCGTGACATGGGAGGCCTTAGCATTGAACGCCTCAACCGCACAATCCACTGCAGACTTCCCGTTTCCAACAACGACCACACGCTTGCCCTCCGCCATGGCCGGGTCCTGAAAGTCAGTCGAATGTAAAGCTTGGCCCTGAAAAAGCTCCTGAGATGGCAGCTTGGGAAGAAATTGCTTGGTCTTGCTGTAAAGCCCGGTGGCAATCACACAATAGTCAAAGCTTTCCTCCTTTGCAGTACCGTCCTTGCTGGTTGTGAAGACCCAGCCATCTTCCTGTGGCTTCACACTCAGCACCTTGGTATTAGTTTCCACTGAATCGAGGAGTTTGAAGTGCTCAGCATAGTCTTCCACGTAGTGCTGAGTCTCTTGGCCTGTGGGATACTGGCCCCAAGGTAACTTGGAAGGGAAGTCGGGAAATTCATAGAGCTGCTTTGGCACTTGCACTCCGAAGTTCACATAGTTCTCTCTCCACACACCACCAATCTTGGCATCCTGCTCAAAAGCCTTCACCTCGAAGCCCTTAGCCCTTAAAGACCGGATCACCTGGAGACCCGCCACACCTCCTCCAACCACTCCCACGCGAGAGGAGCTGACATGGCGGGAGCCTCCGAGACCGAGGCCCCCTCCTCGCGACATGGCGGTGGCCGTGGACATGCCTGGCCGCCCGGGTCTGTGAGTTCTGGCGACGGTGCTGTAGTGCCTGATCGGGGGATTGGATCGGTTAGAGCAGTCACATGAGGATGATATGTACAACACATGAGTGAGTCACATGATTTCTACTTGAAAAGAAAAGAAAAACACAGGTCAAATAACACCCGCACGGCTGCCTTTTGGGTTGAAAGGATGCGAAGGCCTTCTGCACCACTGCATAACCCTCTTGTCTGGGTGGCATCCAACTGTCTTGTATGCCTTCCAATCGCATGACCTCTTCATGTTTGGGATTCCTGATGTCCATCTTGAAGAGAGCATCACAGAAGCTCTCACGCTTCCATGCTGGATTGCTGGCCAGGACATCAAACTGGCAATGGTCAAAGAGTGGAGGAGATTCAGGTATCACTTCCAGCGTTTCTTCCAACTGTTTCGCATCAATGCTGGGGAGTTGTCCTTGCAGGCCACGCATCCACATCATTTTGGACAGCAGCCCCACTTGTGCCTGGCCTTCCAACAACGCCTCCAAGGCAGACACTTCCCCTACAGCTGTGTCGCCATGTTTTCCCAGGTCCATGTCAAATGCTCTGACCTCAGCTGGTTTCACTCCCAGCTCATCAAGCCAGAACAGAGGCACCAAGTGCGCTTGGGGTGAGTCAGAAGCTCCAGTAGCCACAATCTTTCCAGTCACTTCGCCGACAGACGCGACGTTCGCGTCCTTTCGTGCCACGCAAAGCGAGATAAAGTCACAGTCCACATCCCGCATGCCCAGGGAAATCACACCACCAGGCCCTGGCCGTGAAGCCGGGGTCCCATGGGACGTGAATGCCGTGCCCTACGTCATGCAGAACCTTTCCCCCCTACCGGACGTGCCAAACGCCGCTACTTAAGGGACGGGGGCCACATGCCGCTACTTAAGCGGATGCCGCAGCCACGCGGACCGGACCGGACCTAAAGCAGTTTAGGCCAAAACGTCTGGCCTGGCCTGCATGCTGCTGAGCGAGAACATGAGCGACGGGACCATTCCAGGCCAGATCAATCTCACCAGCCAACAAAGCTGCTACCTGTCGCTCATAGTTGGTGAAGAGAACGAAATCAAATGGACATCCAGCTGAATTCAAGTAGTCCTTCATTTTCTCCCAAATGCTCGAAATGGCTGGGTCATAACTCACTGCACCCATGAGCACATGATCCTCTTTGCGAGGTAGCCGCCCAAAGTGCCACGTCGAAAAACCTCCACGTCGAAGTGCCAGGTAGCGTCCAGGAACGTGCCACGGAACGTGCCGAACGAACATGAATCGCTTCTCTTCACGAGTCGCGAGTCGCGAGTCGCAAGACTTTTCTTCAGTCTCAGCTTTGAGGTGGCAAAAAGCTGCCAAGATGCTTCATGATTGCAAAAGCATTCAGCAATGCAAAGTTTTGGTGATTGAAAGTTTCTCCACACAAAAAGCAGCGCATGACGTTTCTCCAAATTTGAAACAAACTGCATTGCAAGAAGTGACACAACATGCAAAAAAGAAATAGCAAATCACAAGAACACAGGTTGTAAATGTCTAAATGGTATAACCCAAGTCGACAAACTTTTCACAGGTGTTGCAAACACGAGACTGAATATCTACTAATTGCTAATGACACACCATGCATGATGCGAACCTACGTTTCATCAACCTTACCCAAGAACAATGCAGTTTCGCCTGTGCGTCTTACTTTAGAAACTGGGCCAGTGAAAGCTGCCTCTGAACCGAAATGTGTGTTTTTGGATACAGATTTGTTCAAAGTCTGTAACTGTTGTGACTTTTCTGCATAGACAACCATAATGACGATAATTGTTGCAACAAAAAACACCCTCGATTTGACCAGAGGGCCATTGTCACAGATGTGAAGTGTTAAACATGAGCACCTTCGCAGTGGAAGCATCGGGCACCGAAAGCAAACACACACTTGTTCATGCGGCATCCTGATTCTACAGTGTCCGCCACGCGGAAGTGTTGCGGCAATTTGGAGGCTCCATGAATTGTACAGCAACATATTATAGCTGATATCTACCATTGTTGGGCTGATTACCATAGTGAATGGGTCGTCTTCTGCTTTAATCTGAATGACTGAGTCCTGAATTTGGAGGATCATCCAACAGCAACATGAGCAGAACAATATCTAGCACAATAGGAAACGGAAAATGGGAAAAGCAACAACACCAATGAACTCAAGATCATACCAAACACCGAAACACAGGACTGTAACACTGAGATCTTGAAAAACATTTAGGGGCTAAATAAAAAGACTGACTTGAGAGCTTCAAGCAAACTAACATCGACAAAAAGTCCTTCAAGTCTTAAAACAATCATTTTGCGCATGCACCCCCGGAAAAAAAAATATAAAAATAAATCACACCGGGTGGAGAGGAGAGCTTGTCAGTTCAACAGTTTTTAGGATGCAGAAAAGTGGTAAACAAAGGTTGACAAAACGAATT